TGGCTGTTGGATGTTGCCTGTGTTGGTGAAAATGGTGGATTGGTGGAAGCCCCAATTGTAACTACCAACTCTTAAATCCAGTAAAATGATGAGAAAGTGTTCAGGCTAACAGGTTCCTGATTACTGGATTTCTTTGTCACTTTGTGTGATTTATGTGATACTGTGATTGTATCACTGTATACCTGTATAGATTATAACTTATAAGTTATAAGTTTATGGATGTATGACCCTTAATAGTTAATTCCTTAAAGTCCCAACTATGAAATTTAGAAAAATGATGAAGTTAAGAGGTGCCTGTCTTCTGATTCTGGATTTCTCTATTTCTCTCAGTTGTATGTGACTATCTGAATATCTGTACTTGTTCAATATGTTTCCCACTGAGTAGTGACCACTATACTGATGGTATTCCATTTACTTAGATGGAAAATATCACAGAGTCTGGAAGTCAACCTTCTAAATCTTCAATTGATGGGTCTACAGTGGTGGAAGGCCAAACTGTTGACACAAATAATCAACAGAATGTGCAACCTACTATTGCAGTTCCTGAGAAGAAGAGGAAGATTGTTGAGTCCAGATCTCCAGTGTGGGATCATTATGAAAAAATTAAGGATAGTACTGGTGTTACTATCAAAGGCAAGTGTATATATTGTGCCAAAATATATCAATGTCAGTCTAAAAAGCATGGTACTACCTCCTTGAGAAACCACATGCTTAGCTGTCTGAAAAACCCTCACTCTAAAGACACTAGACAATCACTGTTAACCTTTCAAGCTATTACAAATTCTGATGCATCTCCTGCTACTGTTGGTGAGTTAGGAACTTGGGTCTTTAACCAGGAAGCTATTAGGAGGGCCTTGGTTGAAATGATTATAATTGATGAACTGCCTTTTAGATTTGTGGAGGGTCTAGGGTTTAGGAAGTTCATTCTGGTGGCTTGTCCTAGGTTTAAGATTCCATCTAGATGGACAATTAGTAGGGACATCAATCTGATTTATGAAGAGGAAAGATTGAAGTTGAAATGTGTTTTTAGGGGGAACACTCAAAGAGTCAGTATTACAACTGACACTTGGACTTCTATTCAAAGAATTAACTACATGGTAGTGCCTGCCCATTTTATAGATGAAGAGTGGAAGCTTAACAAGAAGATTATCTCATTTGTCCCTATTACATCACATAAGGGTGAGGCTGTAGCAAAAGTCCTTGAAACCTGTTTGCTTGATTGGGGGATTAGGAATGTGTATAGTATAACTGTAGACAATGCTTCATCTAATGACACTGCTATAGGTTTTTTAAAAAAGAAATTGATGTCTTGGGGAACATCTACTGTGAAGGGCAAGTATATTCACATGAGATGTATTGCCCATATTCTGAACCTTGTTGTCCAAGATGGCCTGAAACAATGTGATTCTTCTGTGAAGAGGGTAAGGGAGGCTGTAAGATATGTGAGGAGTTCACTTGCTAGACTTAAGAAATTTAGGGACTTGGCTGAGTGGAATGGGATTGAACAGAAATCATCTTTGTGTCTAGATGTTCCAACCAGATGGAACTCTACATATCTTATGTTACAATCTGCAATTATTTATGAGAAAGTGTTTGAGTCACTTGAAGAAAGTGATACTGCCTACAAATCAGATCTGTCTAATGCTGTTCCTACTTTTCTTGATTGGGAGTCTGTGAAGAGTTTGGTGGAGATCTTGAAATGTTTTTATGATATGACAATAAGAATTTCTGGTTCTTTATATGTCACTTCTAACACTTTCTTTTCTGAAATTTCTGATTTATACTGCCTCTTGAATGGCATGATGGAAGCTGGAGGGTCTGTGAAACTGATGGGAGAAAATATGAAGGCTAAATTTGAGAAATATTGGGGGGATATAGATAAATGAACTTGATGATATTCTTTGCAAACATTCTAGACCCAAGAGAGAAGTTAGAGTACATGGCAACACAGATGAATCACATGTATGGTGAGGAAAAAGGTAAACCATACTATGAGAAAGTGATTGCAGCCTTCAAAGAGTTGTTTAATGATTATGCTGCCTCTACTCCTGTCTCTACTCCTGCCTCTACTCCTGTCAGTACTCCTACTGATTTTTCACAGTCTACAGTTGGGAGGCCCCAACATTTGTTAAAGTCACAGATTAAGAAACAAAGATTGGAGAGTGGGGGAATGAAAAAAACTGAGTTAGAAATTTACCTTGCTGAGGCAATACTTGAAGAAAAAACCTCTTTTGACATACTTAGATGGTGGAAGTTGAATGCTGAAAGGTTTCCTATCCTTTCTAAGATAGCTAGGGATGTTTTAGCTATACTAATATCTACTGTTGCATCAGAATCTGCCTTCAGTACATCTGGTAGGGTTTTGGATCCTTTTAGGAGTTGATTAACTCCTAAAATTGTGGAAGCTTTGGTCTGTACGCAGGATTGGCTTAGGCTATCAAATACCCCATTATCAATTGAGGAAAATCTGGAGGAATTGGAGAGATTTGAACAAGGTAACACATTCTATTCTATTTTTTTTAACAATTTGTTATTTCCTATTTTCCTTATAATTTTTTGTTGTTGCAGAAATTAGTACTGATGGTGGAAGTGGAACTGGAAGGAGTGGTGGTTCTACACTTGCTACAATTCCTATAATGCTATGCTTTGTACTTTATACTTTATACTGCTGTTTCTGTTTGAATGTATTATGTAATACATTTATGCTGTTTGCCTGTTATTCATGACTCATGAGGCTTGCTTGCAGCTGGATTGGTAACTAATTAAATTAGTTGCTGCCATTGTAAGTTGTTACATTGTTGGTAAGTTGGCACATTTTACAATTTGTTTATGTTTTATACTTTTATTATATTATGGCCATGATGAAAGCTTCCACCAATGATCTGAAAAATAAGGGATTAAGCTGGTATGTTGCTCCATCCTCATGGGGATGTTGTAGCAATTTCCCCTTAATCCTAACTTTGATATGGATAAAAAGCTTACTGAGCCAAGTTTATAAATTATAACTGTCTAATGATATTCTGTTGCTCAATAACTTATTTTTGCTATTTGGCATTTTGACTTATTGCTAACTTTGCTTAAGTTTTGAGTGTTTACAGGAAGATGAAGAACAATAGGAAGAGATTAGGAACTCTACGAAGACTAGGAAGTAGGAACTTGGAATATTCAGTACTTTTTTGGCATGTAATTGCTATTTGCAAGGATAATTTTTTGACTTAAGTGCATATTCAGTAGTATTTTGGCATGTAATTGCAGTTAGAGTAAAATGTAATTGCATGTATGTTATATTAACTATTTATATTTACACTGTTTTGTTCAATTTTGTAGTGCTTTTCCTTTATTTCATTATTATCAAACTATCCGAAATTGGTTCGGATATCCGACCGAACCGACCCCAACCGAAGTTCAGTCAAAGCGAATAGATTTCTTAGATTAAAAAACGAAATAGGATTTAAATAATGATATCCGAAATCCGAAAGGGTTGCCCATCCGCCCACCCGAACCGCCCCAATCCGACCGATGCACCCCCCTATCAGAAAGAGAACATTTTTGGAGTGATAGATGCAGGTAATTTGTTTGATTTTCTAAATAATTTTGATTGATAGATATCTTAAAAATAATTGTCACTTTTTTTGGTTTAATTTCAATATGTTTGTATTTGCAGTAATTTACACGATTGAATTTCAAAAAAGGGGATTGCCACATGCTCACATTTTGATATTCTTGAGCAAGAGTAACTCTTATCCTAATCCAAAAGATATTGACATGATCATATCTGCTGAGATTCCAAGTCAATTGTGCGACCCTGAGTATTATAAAGCTGTGGAAGAATTTATGATTCACGGTCCATGTGGTGCAGCGAGGAAGAATTCACCTTGCATGGTAAATGGTAAGTGCTCTAAATTCTTCCCAAAAAAATTTGTTGAAAACTCTACAGTGAATTTCGATGGATATCCAATCTATCGGCGTCGAGATAATGGTCGTACAATACGGAAAAATGAGATTGACCTTGATAGTAGATATGTTGTTCCACACAATAGACATTTGCTGATGAAGTACAAGGCTCATATTAATGTGGAGTGGTGCAACCAATCTAGATCAATAAAGTACTTATTCAAGTACATCAACAAGGGTAATGATAGGGTCACAGCTGAATTCTACAACAGTGGTGTGGAAGAATCTACTGGAAAGATTATAGATGAAATCAAGATGTACTATGACTGTAGATATATTTCACCCTCTGAGGCCGCGTGGATGATTTTTGCGTTTGACATACAATTTAGGAATCCATCTGTTGAGCGATTGAGTTTCCATCTTCCCAATGAGCATTCAATAATATTTCATGACGACGATTTGGTCAATGATGTTGTAAATCGACCGACAATAGCTCAAAGCATGTTTACTGCCTGGTTTGAGGCTAATAAAAAGTACGCAGAAGGGAGACAATTGACTTATTCACCCAACTAAATTTGTTTGGAAGAATGATAAAAGAGAATGGCAACCTAGGCAAAGGAATTGGGCAATTGGTCGAATCTTTTATGTGCCCCCAAATATTGGTGAGATCTTTTATCTTAGATGTTTACTTAATATAGTTCGTGGACCGACTTCATTTGATGAGATTAAAAAAGTCGATGGCGTTCAATACAATTTATTTAGAGATGCATGTTATGCCCGCGGATTAATCGAAGATGATAAAGAGTATGTTGATGCAATCAATGAGGCAGCAGTTTGGTCTTCAGCACATTCGCTACAGAAGTTGTTTGTTACACTTTTGACCTCTAATTCAATGTCCAAGCCAGAAAATGTGTGGGAGATGGTTTGGCAATACTTATTAGATGATGCTCAATTTATTTCTAGAAGGAACCTCTCAATCTCAGGTAATAATTATATATATACATATCCGTTTTTATAAGTATTATATCTTACCGGGTTTTTTTTTTTCTAATTTTGTAGATTTAAGTCTCAATGAATCTCAAAAAAAGAATTATGCGTTGCTTGAAATGGAGAAGTTGTTGAATGCTTGGAACAAATCTCTATCAGATTATCCACCTATGCCAATACCAGATGAAAACAATGATTGGTTTTTTGGTAACAGGTTGTTGTTCGAGGAGATGTCATATGATAGGGAAGCTCTAATGCATCAACATAATTCGTTGCATCCGAAAATAACTGACGAACAGTTACTCATCTACAATAAGGTGATGGCAGATGTTGAAACGGAGAAAGGTGGAATGTATTTCGTTTATGGTTATGGTGGAACAGGAAAAACCTTTTTGTGGAAGACAATTTCAGCAGCTTTATGGTCCAAAGGTGAAGTCGTTCTAAATGTAGCATCAAGCGGTATAGCTTCATTGCTGCTACCTGGTGGGAGGACTGCACACTCCAGGTTTGCTATACCAATTGCTGTTACTGAAGATTCCACTTGCAACATTAAGCAACGCAGTCCACTTGCTGAATTGATAATCAAATCCAAACTAATAATTTGGGATGAAGCTCCGATGATGCACAAACATTGTTTTGAAGCATTGGACCGAACAATGAGAGATTTAATGCGTTTCAAAAATTCTAAGAGCTCAACAATGACATTTGGAGGGAAAAACAGTGGTTTTGGGTGGAGACTTTAGACAAATTCTACCCGTTATTCCAAAAGGTACTCGACAAGATATAGTACAAGCCAGTATTAATTCATCTTACTTGTGGAATAATTGTGAAGTTCTTCGTTTAACGAAGAATTTAAGATTGCGAGGTGTTAGTAATGAAGACGGTGTTGAGAAGTTAGATAGTTTTGCCAAGTGGATTGCAGATTTAGGTGATGGTAAACTTGGTGAAGACAATGGTGTTGATTGCAATATAATGATACCGTCTTCAATTGTATTAGAAAATGAGGTTGATCCTATTAGACAAATTGTTGAAAGCACATTCCCTGAATACTGTTCTGGGAACATGGATGAAAGACAGCTAGAGAATAGAGCTATTCTAGCTCCAACATTAGATGTTGTTGACGAGGTCAATGAATACATGAATGGTATTAATCAAGCTGCATCCATGACATACTTGAGTTGTGATTCTGTTTGCAAGGCGGAGACAAACTTTGATATGCAATCTCAGGTACACACAACAGAATTTTTAAATAGTTTGAGGTACTCAGGTGTACCAAACCACTCTTTAACTTTGAAAGTTTGAACTCCAGTTATGCTGTTGAGAAATATAGATCACTCATTGGGATTGTGCAATGGTACAAGGTTAATAGTAACACAATTGAGAAATCATGTTATTGAGGCAAAAATCATATCTGGCAATAACGCAGGTACAAAGGTGTTGATACCAAGGCTATCTTTGACTCCTTCAGACCCAAGACTTCCATTCAAATTTCAAAGAAAGCAGTTCCCACTTATGTTATCATATGCAATGACAATCAACAAAAGTCAAGGTCAAACGCTTTCACATGTTAATTTGTTACTGAAAAAACCTATTTTTAATCATGGCCAATTATATGTAGCAGTTTCTCGGGTCAGTAATCCTGATGGTCTTAAGGTCTTAATTTGTGGGGAGTCTAAAGGTCTTTTAAATAAGACTCAAAATGTAGTTTATAAAGAAATCTTTAATAATTTGTAATTGTTTTCTTTATTTAACCCCAATAAATTATATTTGGTGTATTTGTTACGTCTATAGCCTTATTGACAATATATCATGAATAAAATAATTTATTATATATTTCATCATAATAACATGGCCGTGCATCGCACGGGTGCAACTACTAGTAAATATAACAACCATGCTTTCTGCATCTACAAAACTAGGTCTTAAAATTAGACATCTTTCACTCTTCACCTTGCGGCAAATTATTCTGTGGACCTGGATCTAAAAATACACAATTTACCTACTAAATGTTCACAATTCAAATTGTAAATATTCAGTATATAAATTATATATTTTGGACCCGACTACCTCATGATTAGGAATTTATATATTATATAGCTGCTCAAGTGTCATTTTCTCAAATAAATACGTACTAATTTCCCAAAAATAAATGTATATAATTTTAAACACATTTGTGAAGAATGTACTTTTTTCCCCAAGATTGTTTCAATCTTGAAACCTGTACAAAGAAGTCATGTTATCCTTTATTATATTTCATCAATCCTAGTCTTCCCCCTTTCTTACTGAATGTCAAAATCAGAATCAAGAAAGTTAAAAGTTGTGAGAATAAAACTGGAGTGTAAGCATAAATTACAACTTTCCTGTACACAAAATTTGACAAATCTTAACATCACAATTACCTAACAATAAATATGGCTCCGTGTAAGGCAGTGACATTAACACAGCAACACCAACACCACAACTCTAACATCATTCTGCTCAACCGATAAGTCTCACTACACAAAGACTGGTGTGTGCATGTGTGTGTGTGTTCACTCCAGCTTTAGTCTGTTTTCTTCTAGCTGTTGTTTCTTGGGCTCGGCAGGGAAGTATTTTATGCCCACCAGATCGCCAACTCTACTGATAACCTATGACAGACGAGATTTTCAAATTGGTCAGAAACAGTGTGTAAAGGTTGAATGTAAAAATTACGATAAAGGGAATCTAACCTCTAATGCTTTGATAAGATCTTCCCTTGTGTGAGCAGCTGAAATGCATATGCGAGCTCTGGCTAATAGTAGAGGAGTTGCTGGAAAAGCAACCGTTACCACAGCCACCTATTAATATCATGGAAGGTTAGTCATATAGGTGATCAAAACAACGTTAATTGGAAAGCTGACAGAAAGGATGCAAATTAAAGAAACAGGGAAATTAACCAAAAAAAAAAAGAGAGAACTTCACATTCTGTCTGAGACACTCTCGTGAAAACGCGGGTATTTTGGAAGGATTATAGAGCATGATGGGCATCACAGGGGAGTCGTTATCTCCCAGGACCTCGAAGCCCATTTTCTGCAGTTCTGAGCGGAAAAAGTTGCTGTTCTCACGTATTCGTGCTAGTTTTTCAGCCCCTATATTCACAAACTTGCTTCAATTATGCAACAAATAAGCACAACTAAGAGTACATGCATAATAATCGCATAATATAGGGAGTAAACACCACACCAAGCAACAGATATGGGAGGTTTAAAATTTGCTTACCCCTACTAGAGCCATCTTCTCCAAGAATAACTTTTATGGCAGAAATAATTTGTTGGGCAGCAGGAGGTGATATTGATGTTGCATATAGATGAGCAGGGCATGTGTACTTCAGATATTGAATCAATTCCTGAATTGTGATATCAAAGACTGCTTAAACTAAAATAATCTCATATAAACCAGATAAATAAAAGCTCTTGAGATGTAACTGCAAAAGAAATATGAAAAAGAAAATAAAAGGAAATAATATTTTAATTCTTTGCTACATGGCTGACACTATATCTAGCTGAGTGCAAATGGAGCTTACAATTCTACTCCAAACCCTATAACTTGATTATATGCCTTCGTATCCCATACCAAAAAATAAACACCCAGAATTTACAAGGTTTCAATGGCAGGTGATATCAGCCCCATACATAAACAATCATGTATTCTAAAAGAGGAATAAGCATTAGAAGTTTAGAACATTAGAATCCACTTCAATAAAACACAACAAAATTCAAATAATAAAGTCAAAATTGCCAAATTTCTATCTAGACAGCCACAATATTTTATGAACACATAACTTATCACACATAAAGGTGGATTTGAGAGAACATTACTAGAGAAATGAAACACTACATATCTCAGAATTATATTATACCATCTAACCCACTTTACATGTCAATGATGTCATATTTACTATTTAAAAGTTAAACAAAATATTATATTTATATATATATATATATATATATATATATATATACACACACACGTACACACACACACATACATATACATTCATTATGTGTCTAGTGTGTCTATGCCTGTGTGTAGGTGTGTTGAATTGATGATTCAGAAACATTAATGCACAGAACACACTCCACTGATGTGAATTTACTTTGTCAAAGTTTAATGTGGATATAACAAACCAACAAACCTTGGATCCTGCAATATAACCGCCACATGATCCAAACGATTTTGTGAAAGTTCCCATCATGATATCCACATCTGCAGTGTCAACTCCTAAGAGCTCACAGACACCCCTCCCAGTTTTGCCAATTGCTCCAATGCTATGGGCCTCATCCAAATAAACATATGCCTGCAACAAGAATATGATTGTAGATTTACTCATACAGGCAGCAGAATATCCCAAGGATTTACTAGAAAATGATCCAAATACAGCCTAGACCGGGGAATGGGAAGGGAGGTTCAGTTGCAACAGAAGGTAGGGTTCTCAGTACTGCTATTTCAAGTGTTAAACAAGAACATGGCTTCTTCTACCTAGTTTTCATACAAGTTAACATCTTACGATGTACTACCTTGTATTTTTTGCATATGGCAACAATCTCTGGAAGATTGCAAAGTTCGCCTTCCATGCTGTATATGCCCTCCACTACAACAATGATCTTCTTCCATGGCCTGTGTGTCCTAGGTTGCCCTTCAGCAATTTGTTCTCTCAAAACCTTCTCCAAATGGGAGGGTGCTGTGGAGACATTTGGGAACAGATTAAAAATACATACAAGCCAAAATAGATTGCATCTTACAGAGTATTGTTCATGAAAACAAAAGGTATCTTACAAAAACTTACTGTTATGTTGGAATACACGAATAGTAGCCCCAGAGCCTCGGGCTCCATTAACAATAGAGTTGTGGTTCAGAGAATCACTAATTATCAACCCTCCCTGCAAATGATCATAAACTGAGGGCTGATAGAAAAAGCAGATCAATGTTAATATTTAGTGCTTACTGAGGATACCTTTCCAATCAACACAGGAAGAATAGCCGAATTTGTAACATAGCCCATGCCAAAAACTATAGCAGCAGGTTTTCCAACAAAATTAGCTACACATTCCTCCAATTCAGTGTGTAATGACAGAGTTCCTGCCAACATAATTCAATTAGAGGATGAACACTTTAACAGTAGCCATACTGTTAGAGCTTTCAAGAAATGAAGCCTACCTCCATCAACACGGGTACTACAAGTGCTTGGCGAAAACCTTTTCAAGGAGTCAATTACACGAGGAGTGCAATATTCATCAGATGCAGCAAAACCAAGATAATTATATGATCCCAAGTTAAGGCACTTAGTGATTTTCGTGGTCCGCCTGCAGAGGTGCATTGAATAGATTGCCATAAAACCAATATTCAGAAACAAGAAAGCTGATTGTATAGACATCCAAAAGATGATGACAAAGCAATAGAGTAATCATTGAGTAGAAGGAAAAGATCAAAAGTTAAAGAAAAAAATGGCAGAAGAGGGGGATATTTTAACTAGAAATGATAAAAAAAATACTCACTTCAGAGTTTTATTATTGTCATTGGACACTCGCTCCACAACATCAAACCAAGCATCAGGAGGACTACAAATTGGTCGCCCAAAACAATCCTGTAAAGAGTTGATTGTATTAAAATAATAATAATAATAATAATAATAATAATAGTAGTAGTAGTAATAATAACTCAGAAGCCTGACAAATGCGTAGAGGATCATCAGAGGGTAATTTGACTTGGTAAAACATTCACATGATGACTTTTGGAATACAGATTAAAAAGCTTTATGGAGGATAAAAAGGGTAAACTTTCAGTAAAACATTCATTTTTCATCTCTAAACAATATTAAGGTCGCATTCTCAAACTAAATGAAATATAGATAATAAGAAGCACCAGGATGTCAAGATGCATAGTAATTCAGATTCTCAGAGGAGAAAATACAAATCACAAAACCATTTCTTGTCTCTTCAACATTATCTTTAGATTATCTGAAGCATATAACATAATTTATGAAAATGAAAGACAGAAAGTATGCAAAGTCTGGTTTCCATTTCAATATTTCTGAATCATTCATTCCTCACATCAATCATCCATTGAACTCATCTATTAGCAATACGGCAACAAAATAACATCAGAAAGGGTAATATACCTGAATCCGAAGATATAATCGACGAGTGTAGAAATCCTCAAGCCCTAAGCAGATCGGAGCATATCCCTAGCATAAACAGTAGAGCAAGGCAAAATCTACAAAATTCAGTTCCATACGCGCGCACGCTTCTTACGAATATAAAACTACCAACAGAGAGATGCATAAGCTTAGACGCAAACAAATCAATACCATATACAAACAGAGGTACCTGGAGATTGCTGGAATGGCACCAATCAAAGATTTTCCTGAAGAAGTCGCGGAATTGGCCGAATGCAAAGAGGAGGATGTAGCTGAAGAAGGTGGTCAAAGCGGTGAAATACGGGATTTCAATCATTTTGGAGGGGAGCAGAGACCGGATCAGACGGCACGGCGGAGAGGAGAATCCGGCGAAAACGGGAGGTCGGAGATGGCAGAGATCGGCTGGCGGCAGGTGATGGGAGAAGGAGAAGAGAGAGAGAGGGATGGGATTCACCCAAAATCCAAACCCCTCTTTCCACTTGATTTGTTGATAATGAAAATGAATAATAATGGGAAAAATCCAAATTCAAAAAATATATATATATACCGGTGGAAATAAGATTCTCTTTTTATTTTTTACTTTTCATTATTTCGCTGTACGTTGTGCCTTGATGGTTGTACGACGCCATGTGAGTGGTTTTAATGGAATATGACCAATCGGACATTCAAAGAATCAAAGCAAAGACTCGCCAAATGTGAGGTTTCAACGAGTCATTTTTTTTTTGAAACATTTTTTTTCTTCAAAAAAGGTTTCAAGAGTCATAAATCATAATTTTGATATTTTGTTCAGACCCAGTTATAAATTATAGGAAAAAGTATCAAATTAACCCCTTAAGTTAAGTGGATAGTGCAATTGGGTCCCCTAAATGAAAAAAAGTTTCATTCAAGTCATCTAAATCAGTAAAATTGTTCAATTAAGTCCAATTTAACTTGTTTATCAGATTAAATCCATACGGTGTTGACATGTGTCATTCTTATTTTATTTTTTAAAAAAAAATATTTTTTATTAAAAATTAAAAATATTATTTATTTGTTATAAATTAATTATAATAATAATAATAATTAAAAAAATTAAAAATAAAAAAGAACAGCCATCGACTGTCTTCCTTCTTCACAGACAGTCATGACCGTCCGCCCATGGGCGTCTTCTAGATCTGGACGAGGGCTACGGCCTTGGCTGCCGCCCTCGTTCCAGACGGAGGGGACTGGAACGATCTGGACGAGTCATTACTTACAAGCTTTACTTTCCAGCATATCGAATCAAACCTAAAACTTTACAAGACTAAAACATGCAAAATAACCTAAAACTGGTTTAATATATTTCTGTTTCAGAAATAGTTTTAAAAATCTATACAAGTCTATTCACCTCTATACTTGTAATCCAACCCCTAAGGACCAATAGATGTTATTTGACTTTAATCCCTAAATTAAAAATATGCACTATAATAAAGTTTGCATTAACTAGATAGCTTTCGTCAAATACACCTAAGACATCAAATCATGTGCAAATAAGCTCTAATCCCTCAATTCACCCTTATCTAGGGTTGATAAGTTCAATATTATGCCTCGTGAATATTCATTCCGTGTGGATCAAGTTTTTGTTCTTTTATTTTAAGGATGATAGTGGGTGTTGGAGGCTTGGAGCATGGGTGAGTTTTAAAAAAGTTCACTCGCCACAAGTTGGAGGTGAAGTGGAGAAAATATAAGGGGTCGTTTGATGAAAAACTATTTCCAAAGAAAAACTTTTCCTTAAATTTTGTGGAAATTGAATTTTCCTTCTCTTGGTTCACATAAATTTTTTTCCATTAGAAAATGTTTTCATAATCAAGAATGAGAAAAAAAGTTTTCCTTAGCTCACCTTGGTATTTTTTTTTAATACTCATCCTTGGTATTTTTTATTTTCAAAGGAAAAAGTTTTTCATTCAAAATTAGTAGGATAATTTTACCTTCATAGAACTTGTTAATTACCATTACTACTACTATTATCAGGGACGGAGGTAATTGTACTACCACCCCAAAATTTTTTAATATTATATACGTATTAAATTTTTAAAAAAAAATATATTATATAGAATTTTAAAATTTTGTTGTTTTTTCAAAATATTTGGCCCCCCTCCACTTAATTAATCTTACATGTAAAGTTATAAATTTTTTCATCTTCTCAACTTGTTCAATTCTTTCATATTTCAAATTATGTATTCCATATATTGTTGACTCACATTCAAATTAAATTTCATTTAACCTTCTTACTAGTTTCTCTGCTTAGAACCATGCATATACGCGGCATATACGTTATAATAAGATAATTTGTCATTAACAAAATCTATGCATATTTTTCAAGTTAATTTTTAATTTTAATTTTTATTTCTAACTACTTGTTTGGTTAATTTTTGTTTCATATTCTATTGTTTATCTTAAATAATTATTTTGTTTGATTCTAAATCATGGATATCAAGTGCATTTGTTTGGTTAATTATGTAAATTTGTGGATGTGTGATAAATTTTGTATTTAATTTAAAATGCATAATAATGTAACAATTGTGTAGTATATGTATTTGAGAAAACAATTGCTATTATGTTATGTTGTGAAAAGGGTTTTTCAAGAAATAATCAATAGTCTTTTAAAACATGCGTGAATGTTTTCATTCTTTCAACCGTACAAAGTAATGTGCATTGAAAAGCATATTGCAAAATAATTTAATATAGATTCAATTATAAATAATTTATTCTAAACTTTATTGAATTTGTAATGTAATGATTATTTTGAGATATGTTAACGGAATATCAATGTATTTGATTTGAGCAAATACCAATTTTGGTCCCACGAGTATTAGCAAAATGACAGTTTTAGTCCACATGTTTAATTCTTACCAATTTTCATCCACGACTATTACTTTAGTACCAATTTTCATCCACGACTATTGTTTTAGTGCCAAAATTCATCACGCCAATCACACATTTGTTTAAAACATGTCGAAATATGAAATTATTAAGGGTATTTTCATCTTTTTAAATTAAGATCCCAATTTGAGCATGAATAAAAAGATTTAAGCCCTAAGATCTATCGTGATTCGCAGTTTTTCTCCTCAAATTAAAGTAGGATAAGGAGGGGAACTGCCAATTGGGATTGATCTTAGGGCTTACATCCCTTTATTCATGCTCAAATTAGAGCCTTAAGTTGAAAAAGACGAAAATGCCCTTAAAATTTTTAGATTTCGACATGTCTTGGATGGAGGGGTGACAGGCGTGATGAATTTTGGTACTAAAATAATAGTCGTGGATGAAAATTGGTACTAAAACAATAGTCGTGGGATGAAAATTGGTAGAAATTAAACATGTGGACCAAAACCGTCATTTTACTAATACTCATGGGACCAAAATTGGTATTTGCTCTAAAAAATATATTGATTTCTACTTTCCCATTCGTACAATAATTCTGGGTAAAAATTCTATTCTAAAATTATAAAATAGTGTAATACAATTTCCTTTTACATCTATATCTATACTATATATAAAAACAAAAGCCTGAAATTTTAACCTCCCGCCCAATTCCTAAAAAATCTCTCTTCCCAATAAAATATATTGATTTCTACTTTCCCATTCGTACAAAAATTCTAGGTAAAATTGTGAAGTGTCAAAAGTTCGGCAAGACATAACTTTTGACTCGGTTGTCCGTTTTGGACAAATGTTTTTTTTTTTTAAATCGCGTGTTTTTTCGAGATCTATCCACCGCAAACTGCCGTAGGCGGTTTGACCCACCAATTTCTAAAAAAAAATGCTTTATTAAATAGTTTCTAAGAAAAAACTATGAGAACCTTATGTTTTATTAATGAATTTTTAAATTTTTTTAATTATAAAATTGTCCCGTGCATTATTTAATAATCTCTCTTTATAATTGGTCAAATTATTTAATTATGGTAAATTAGGGAATAATTAATGATGGTAATAGAAATTCTAGAAGAATATAGAATTGACGAATATTTAATTGTTGTTATATTATTATTGTGACTCACAGAATACAATACTAGAATATTTAATTATGGTTATATTATTATTGTGTGCCTCACGGCCATTATATACTAACAAAACGTGAAAAGAAACTAATAATAATAATAATAATAATAATAATAATAATAATAATAATAATATAAGTGGTAAAAATAATATCTAAAAGTAATTAAGTGTTAATAATAATAGTAAGAATTATAATATAGAATAAATCGTAATAATTAATAACTATAGTCTAGGATTAAATTTGGAATTGTCAGGAAAGATAAGCGACCTCTGGTGAAATTAACTCTTAAATTATTATATATCGATTTAAATATTCTTAACGTATTACAACAATTCCATTCCGTGCATCGCACGGGTGAAAATACTAGTTGAGTATAACAGGAGAAATTACTAAACTAAATTAACAGAGAACTCAATTAGGTAAAATGATCAAAATACAATACTTAATTAAGCACAAAAAGAGGTCTAGATTAAATTGAGAAAAATCATTATTTAGTCAATTTGATCAAAATACAATACTTAATTAAGCACAAAAAGACGTCTAGGATTAAATCGAGAAAAATAATTATTTAGTCAATGACTAAATATTGAGTATTAACCCGGGCAAAAATGTAAAATGCAAATGGAAATCTATTTTTCTCATTTTTATCTTAACTTTGAAAATTATCATATTTTTGTCAAAGGAAGTTAAAGCTAGACCCTGTTTGGTAAATGATAGCTGTTAGTTGATTAGGTTAATTAGAGAGTATAATTAGTTGATAACATTAGTTAATTGTAAAAAGGTGTTTGGTAAATTAGCTGTTAGCTGTAGCTGTTTGGTATAAATTTTTTTCTTTCTTTCATAAAGCTAATTGAAAAAGTTGTTTTGAGTAGTTTTTTGAATTTTAGCATTTTGAAGTTACAAAAAGCTAATTAACCAAACGCTTATATTGATTTTTTAACCAAGTCAAACAATTAATAGAGTTAAATAAGTCAAAATCGGCTAATAGAACATTTACCAAACAGGTCCAAAATCTTTTTTAGATTTCGTCAAAAACCTAGAGAGAGTCCTCCCAAGTTAATTTCCAGTAGCCATTTCAATACTCGACGTAACACAACAATTGCATTACGTTCAATATATTGGTGTATGTCTAAATGATATTGTGTAGTCATTAACAAGTTTCCATATCAAAGATATTCTTGCTGTTGAATGCATATGGTGTTGAGCGATTGTGGAATAATTTTAATAACTTTTGGTTAGACAGAAAAATATGCAACCATGACTATGGTTCCCAACTATTGGGAAGCCCTCATGAAAAATTGAAAACCTTCACTCGCTTCTTGTGCATCACTCTATCTCTATCACCGTTTTTGTCTCCAACAACCAACACAAAACTAACTTTTCTTTCTCAAATCATGTTATAATCCCTCTAGCTTTTTCAATTTTTTTTTTTTAAAACCAAAGACAAATGCATTAATTCAAATTCAAATGAAAGGTGTTACAAATGATAGAA